GGTGGGTGGGTGGGTGAGGGGTGGGGGGGTGAGTGAGTGGGTGGGTGAGTGAGTGGGTGGGTGAGTGAGTGGGTGGGTGAGTGAGTGAGTGGGAGAGGGAGTGGGTGAGTGAGGGAGTGAGTGGGTGGGTGAGTGAGTGGGTGGGTGAGGGAGTGAGTGGGTGGGTGAGTGAGTGGGTGGGTGAGGGAGTGAGTGGGTGGGTGAGTGAGGGGTGAGTGGGTGAGTGAGGGGTGAGTGAGTGAGTGGGGGGGTGAGTGAGTGAGTGGGGGGGTGAGTGAATGGGGTGGGTGAGTGAGTGGGTGGGGGGGGGTGAGTGAGTGGGTGGGTGGGTGAGTGAGTGGGTGGGTGAGTGAGTGGGGGGGGCGAGTGAGTGGGTGAGTGAGTGGGGGGGGGTGAGTGAGTGAGTGTGGGGGGGTGAGTGAGTGAGTGTGGGGGGGTGAGTGAGTGGGTGGGTGAGTGAGTGAGTGTGGGGGGGTGAGTGAGTGGGTGGGTGAGTGAGTGAGTGGTGAGTGAGTGGGGGTGGGTGAGTGAGTGAGTGGTGAGTGAGTGGGGGGGTGAGTGAGTGAGTGTGGGGGGGTGAGTGAGTGAGTGGCGAGTGAGTGAGTGTGGGGGGGTGAGTGAGTGAATGGGGGGGGGTGAGTGAGTGAATGGGGGGGGGTGAGTGAGTGGGGGGGTGAGTGAGTGAGTGGGGGGGGGTGAGTGAGTGAGTGGGGGGGGGTGAGTGAGTGAGTGGGGGGGGGTGAGTGAGTGAGTGGGGGGGTGAGTGAGTGGGGGGTTGAGGGGTGAGGGAGTGAGTGGGTGGTTCGGTGGGTGGGTGTGAGAGTGCATGCGTGTGTATAGAATAAAAAGGAAAAAGCGAGAAATAGACAAGAACTAGAATTGCATAAAGAGAAAGGGAGCAGCAAAAGTAAAAAATATTTTATGTTCATCTTATATTTCCTAATTAAATAGAATGTTTTCTTTTGATTCTGTTATATACATTGCTATGGTAACCATCCCTTGTATTGTGTAGTAGGCAATTGTCTCTGGCACGGTCAACTTGTTTATTCTAGGTCACATAACTGATACAAGTCATAAATAGTTGATTATTACAGCATTACCACATTGGCTGCATTTCTACTTGTATTTATATCTATCAGTATTTGTCTAAGATAATTTTAATTCAGAGAGAATATTCTTACAACTAGTCTATCCTAAGTAACAATTTCAAATAATAGGACAAGGAAATGTACTTTTATAAATCAATTTGTATTTACTGTCAAAGATATACTGCATAACAGGCCTTGGGACAGGATGAGCTTATAATGTCCTGATACAGTAAGTGAACACATTGGAGGTTTAGCTTTACAATAAAGAATACAATGAATCCTCTAAAGGACATAATTGTAGTTAATATATAATAATGCAATAAAGATGATCAACATAACCCCTTATCCTACTGTATTCCCTGCATATCCTAAGGCAAACAATAGTTCAAATCCTGATCTTGCCACAACTGTCCATATATTTTCATCAGAGGCACACATGACCTATACACACCACTTGCTGGCAGTACAATCCATAAATTCATACAGTTTCCCTTATTAGTGAGTTTCATTAATGGACAACCTTGTATGATATAAATGCAAGTACCTATTTCAAGGCACCACCATATTAACAAAACAGGTTTCCAAGTTCTTACACTGACAGATATTCTTATATGAAAGACATTTGACAAGAGGCACCATTTGGCTATTAAAAATGCATTAAATGAAGTGCAAAAATGCAAATTTTCATGCAACATCAATACATAAAATTTATATATCCTCTTAAGTTTTGTTTCACCATATTTAGCCTCAAATCATTTAGATGTAAGATGGGAAATGCATGAAAAGCTTACAGCTTTCTTTTTCAACTTGGTAAGATGGACATAAGATCATGATACCATGCACTGAATTTTTTTTTTTTTTTTAATGATAAAGTTAGGTGTATTGTCCTTCTGGTATTTACTCTTCAAAATACCAGTTCACTTACTTCATTCAAAGGCACAGTTTTGGTAGCATGTTTAATATGGTGTATATGGATGATATACATAATGTTGAAATATGGCCAAAATATTCAGCAAACTTCAATCAAGGTTAAAATAATCTGAGCATTTTTTTTTCCCTTTAAAATTTGCATTCTGGTACCAAATGTATACCAAACAAATGTGTTTCAGTATTTACAGGGTGTATTGACTAAATATTGCACAGGTGATTAGTATTTCAGGAGATTCAAGATGTTGCTCAAAAGATTACTTGTATGCTAAATGGACCTCCACATTTTTAATCTTATCATTATTATTATTACAGATAATACAAAAGCAAAATCAGGAGAATTATAATATTTAGCACAACAAAATGCATCCCTTTCACATACATAAAGATTAGATTTCACCCAAGTTGTTTAACTGAAAATTAAATTAAATGTTTAGCCTCTGAAGGTATCAAATCAAAACTGATAATAAATAACACAAATGATACTAAATCGACTTATTTATTTCCATAATTAGGTACAAACTACCTATGGATATCACAGTCACTCCTTAAAAGAGATCATCATAGCAATAAATTATTAATTTGTAAATAATGGTATGGTTAAACAATTATCCTTTTGACCTAAGAGTAATTAATTATGGTTTCCTTAGCCTAAAAACTAGCATCAAGACTGGCTTGTTTGATTAAAAAAATCCTATTGAAAATTTTCATAGAAATCTAACTAAAATCCATCTGGGTCGACATTAAATGTGCCCCATTATCCTTCACATAGAAGTCCAGAATAAAATATAACTGGCCCGGATTAGCCATAAGATTAGGAACTGGAGCAAACCAAAACTAAATTACAATTACTGCATTAGCTTCCCATATAAAATAAAATTTCTAATTCAGGTACATTTCAATTGCGGCACAATTCGGCAATGGAAGGAAGGTGGAGGCCCCGGGAAACCTCCATTGGGTTGGCAATGACACTTTCCTTTATCACTTCAGTAACTACTTTCACTGAAAACTTGGTTGCCATTCCAATACTTGGTAAATCCATCTCAATGCCCTGGGGTAATGAAGTAACTGTAGGCTGTCCAAGATTCAGCGGAGCATCTTGGACAAGTCTGCTCTCTGGGGAGAGAGGTGGTGTGGCCATAGAACCACCCCACATTCCCCACCAGGATTCACTGGGTGGAGAAGTGGATAGACTAGAGGTTGTGGACCAAGCACTTGACCATATACCAGTGTCTATACTCTGGTCTATGCTGTTATCCACACTAGCATCTAGACTATGTTCCATTAATGGCTCGTGGGAAGCATCGTACTTATTGCCATTTATACTCGTAGATCCTAAAACACTCATGGTAGAGGTGTACATGCTGCAGTTACTACTGGTCTCGAACAATCTAGCTGAAAGGTTGTCTGGCAGATAAGTTGACAAGTCCAATCCATCTGACTGGAATGACATATCTTCACTCCCTTCACTTGGTTCTTGAGCGGTGGGAATGTCGGAAATTTCTGGCTGATCTTTCATGGCCCTCAAGGCATACAACCTTCGCAAGTTTGCTAACAAAACATCGCTAGTATCTGGATTTGATACTATTCCTGCATCCTCTGCTAAAGCCAGCATTGCACTAGCAAGTCTGTCATGTCTGCCTCTGATGATGAAACCTCGCATTGGGGAAACCCCTGCAGCTTCCTCAGGGTCATGAACAAAGTGACATCGTGCCCCATACTGGCAATATCCATGAGTGTGGTACTGGCGGCAAGGCTCTGTCTTGTAACGTGGATGTCTAGGTATGGCGCGAAGCTCACCTATGCCATGAGCAAAGGTACACGTGTTTCCAAACCTGCTGATAAAAATAATTTTAATTTTCTATACAACAATTATATTAAAAAGATGAAATCAGAAGATTCAACTATAAATCTTTAAGAGACATTTCAATAATGATGAAAATTCTTAAGAACTAGCATTAGTACTTCACCACACACATTAAGCAATACTTGCAATAAACCTGGGAATTAAATATCATGCAAACACCTATTGGTTGGTTATTACTCTGAAAACATGCTCAAGGTACTCAAGTATCTCAAACCTTTTTCTAATCAACAAGCAAATCATTAAGAAAACCTGTAGAAATTTCAAAGAAAGTATTAGACATTATCTTGTGGCAAAAGACTTGTACTATTGTATGGTCAAAAAACAATAGGGTTCTGCAATGAAGCTTAAAAGCCCAATTCAGTTTCAATTTATGATGTAAGTTTCCTACAGCAAAACCAGCAGTAGTCTACTATATCTGTACCTTTAGTGACACCAGTATCTCTGCTTTAATGCAGAGATTCTAAAATTGATTAGTCAATTAAGAAATATTTGGTGGTTCTCAGACTTTCACTACCAGTTACCAACCCTTGGTAATGATGGTAAAATATGCAAACTTTAGGAATATAATGGCACTAAGAAAATTGTTTCCTGAAATACATTCAGCAATAAAATATGCCTTTTATTGTGTTGGTAGTCATTGTCCTACAAGAACCAATGCAGTAATAACTGTTCTGCTGTTTGTGCAAATAACATTGAATGCAATTTCTTTACTATTCAGAAAATGAAAAGGAGGAAGGGAGGGTGGGGAAGTAGCAGCAACTTGATAACTGAATACAAAATTTAAATTTTCCATTATTTCATATTGGATACAACTTCTCAGGTTTGGCAGTAAAACTGATTTCATATTCCTTAATCACCCAGAATTAGTAAACAAGTCAAAAGAAAACTATTACCAGAGAGGGAGGGAGGGTGAGCCAGACATGCAAGCAGACAGAGGGAGGGCAGACAGACAAGGTGAGGGGTGAGGGGGTGAGGGCCAGAGGCAGACACAGACAGACAAGGTGAGGGGTGAGGGGGTGAGGGGGTGAGGGGGTGAGGGCCAGAGGCAGACACAGACAGACAAGGTGAGGGGGTGAGGGCCAGAGGCAGACACAGACAGACAAGGTGAGGGGGTGAGGGCCAGAGGCAGACACAGACAGACAAGGTGAGGGGGTGAGGGCCAGAGGCAGACACAGACAGACAAGGTGAGGGGGTGAGGGGGTAAGGGGGTGAGGGCCAGAGGCAGACACAGACAGACAAGGTGAGGGGGTGAGGGGGTAAGGGGGTGAGGGCCAGAGGCAGACACAGACAGACAAGGTGAGGGGGTGAGGGGGTAAGGGGGTGAGGGCCAGAGGCAGACACAGACAGACAAGGTGAGGGGTGAGGGGTGAGGGGGTGAGGGCCAGAGGCAGACACAGACAGACAAGGTGAGGGGTGAGGGGTGAGGGGGTGAGGGCCAGAGGCAGACACAGACAGACAAGGTGAGGGGTGAGGGGTGAGGGGGTGAGGGCCAGAGGCAGACACAGACAGACAAGGTGAGGGGTGAGGGGTGAGGGGGTGAGGGCCAGAGGCAGACACAGACAGACAAGGTGAGGGGTGAGGGGGTGAGGGCCAGAGGCAGACACAGACAGACAAGGTGAGGGGTGAGGGGGTGAGGGCCAGAGGCAGACACAGACAGACAAGGTGAGGGGTGAGGGGGTGAGGGCCAGAGGCAGACACAGACAGACAAGGTGAGGGGTGAGGGGGTGAGGGCCAGAGGCAGACACAGACAGACAAGGTGAGGGGTGAGGGGGTGAGGGCCAGAGGCAGACACAGACAGACAAGGTGAGGGGTGAGGGGGTGAGGGCCAGAGGCAGACACAGACAGACAAGGTGAGGGGTGAGGGGGTGAGGGCCAGAGGCAGACACAGACAGACAAGGTGAGGGGTGAGGGGGTGAGGGCCAGAGGCAGAGACAGACAGACAAGGTGAGGGGGTGAGGGGGTGAGGGCCAGAGGCAGAGACAGACAGACAAGGTGAGGGGGTGAGGGCCAGAGGCAGAGACAGACAGACAAGGTGAGGGGGTGAGGGCCAGAGGCAGAGACAGACAGACAAGGTGAGGGGGTGAGGGCCAGAGGCAGAGACAGACAGACAAGGTGAGGGGGTGAGGGCCAGAGGCAGAGACAGACAGACAAGGTGAGGGGGTGAGGGCCAGAGGCAAGACACAGACAGACAAGTGAGGGGTGAGGGCCAGAGGCAGACACAGACAGACAAGGTGAGGGGTGAGGGGGTGAGGGCCAGAGGCAGACACAGACAGACAGACAAGGTGAGGGGGTGAGGGCCAGAGGCAGACACAACAGACAAGGTGAGGGGTGAGGGGGGTGAAGGGGGTGAGGGCCAGAGCAGACACAGACAGACAAGGTGAGGGGTGAGGGGGGTGAGGGGGTGAGGGGGTGAGGGCCAGAGGCAGACACAGACAGACAAGGTGAGGGGTTGAGGGGGTGAGGGCCAGAGGCAGACACAGACAGACCAGGTGAGGGGTGAGGGGGTGAGGGGGTGAGGGCCAGAGGCAGACCAGACAGACAAGGTGAGGGGTGAAGGGGGTGAGGGGGTGAGGGCCATAGGCAGACACAGACAGACAGGTGAGGGGTGAGGGGTGAGGGGGTGGAGGGCCAGAGGCAGAACAGACAGACAAGGTGGGGGGGGGGGGGGTGAGGGGGTGAGGGCCAGAGGCAGACAAGGTGAGGGGTGAGGGGGTGAGGGATGCAGGCCAGAGGCAGAGACAGACAAGGTGAGGGGTGAGGGGGTGAGGGGGGTGATGGGGTGAGGGCCAGAGGCAGAGACAGACAGACAAGGAGGGGGGGGGAGGGATGCAGGCCAGAGGCAGAGACAGACAGACAAGGAGGGGGGGGGAGGAATGCAGGCCAGAGGCAGAGACAGACAGACAAGGAGGGGGGGGAGGAATGCAGGCCAGAGGCAGAGACAGACAGACAAGGAGGGGGGAGGAGGGAGGGGGAGGGGCCAGAGGCAGACACAGACAGACAAGGTGAGGGGGTGAGGGCCAGAGGCAGACACAGACAGACAAGGTGAGGGGTGAGGGGGTGAGGGCCAGAGGCAGACACAGACAGACAAGGTGAGGGGGTGAGGGCCAGAGGCAGACACAGACAGACAAGGTGAGGGGTGAGGGGGGTGAGGGGGTGAGGGCCAGAGGCAGACACAGACAGACAAGGTGAGGGGTGAGGGGGGTGAGGGGGTGAGGGCCAGAGGCAGACACAGACAGACAAGGTGAGGGGTGAGGGGGTGAGGGCCAGAGGCAGACACAGACAGACAAGGTGAGGGGTGAGGGGGTGAGGGGGTGAGGGCCAGAGGCAGACACAGACAGACAGACAAGGTGAGGGGTGAGGGGGTGAGGGGGTGAGGGCCAGAGGCAGACACAGACAGACAGACAAGGTGAGGGGTGAGGGGGTGAGGGGGTGAGGGCCAGAGGCAGACACAGACAGACAAGGTGAGGGGTGAGGGGGTGAGGGGGTGAGGGCCAGAGGCAGACAAGGTGAGGGGTGAGGGGGTGAGGGATGCAGGCCAGAGGCAGAGACAGACAAGGTGAGGGGTGAGGGGGTGAGGGGGGTGATGGGGTGAGGGCCAGAGGCAGAGACAGACAGACAAGGAGGGGGGGGAGGGATGCAGGCCAGAGGCAGAGACAGACAGACAAGGAGGGGGGGGGGGGAGGGATGCAGGCCAGAGGCAGAGACAGACAGACAAGGAGGGGGGAGGAGGGAGGGGGAGGGGCAGAGGTAGAGACAGACAGACAAGGAGGGGGGAGGAGGGAGGGGGAGGGGCAGAGGTAGAGACAGACAGACAAGGTGGGGGGGGGAGGGAGGGGGAGGGGCCAGAGGAAGACAGACAGACAAGGTGGGGGGGGGAGGGAGGGGGAGGGGCCAGAGGTAGACAGACAGACAAGGTGGGGGGGGGGAGGGGCCAGAGGTAGACAGACAGACAAGGTGGGGGGGGGAGGGGCCAGAGGTAGACAGACAGACAAGGTGGGGGGGGGAGGGGCCAGAGGTAGACAGACAGACAAGGTGGGGGGGGGGGAGGGGCCAGAGGTAGACAGACAGACAAGGTGAGGGGGGGGAGGGGCCAGAGGTAGACAGACAGACAAGGTGGGGGGGGGGAGGGGCCAGAGGTAGACAGACAGACAAGGTGGGGTGGGGAGGGGCCAGAGGTAGACAGACAGACAAGGTGGGGTGGGGAGGGGCCAGAGGTAGACAAGGGTGGGGGGATAAAATTAATATAATATACATCACAGCTATAGGAAAGATAGAGCCGTGTTCAAACACTTGTAAAAATCTAGTTTATTATCGATTACTTGTAATTTTTACTTTCGAGAATAAATTTATATCTATAAAATGGAAATTAACGAAAACCTAAGAGGTCACTGCATTTTAGTACTACAAGCACACAAGATTCAATGACAACGTCTAGAACCTAACATCTCACAGAATTCTAGAATAGGTATTGAGAAGAAATCAAATATTTTATGTTATCTAATTTTTACCATTGCAGATAATGGAAAATGTTAAGAGCATTGATAGACCTAGCTTGTTTAATACAAACAGATTTATATGAGTGGAAAGAAAATTGCTCAGGCCTACGTAAACAAACAGACTAACGTGCAATCGTACACATCCGGTTCCCTAACAAAGTCCATACCTAGTCCTTTGATGGAAAAAACGAAAATACTGACCAACCTCAAAGCCTCCTTTTAATACTTACAAACCTACATGGAAAAAATCAATTCAAAATGAACCTCCCACACCCACCCCAACCCCCCACCACCACAGCCAACAACAAAAGGGATACTTACCCTCCTATATATGCCATCTACGTCCCTACTGCCACCCGCTCAACATGGGAAAAGACAAACAGGGCAGGACTTGCGTGGAGAGAAGCAAAGCAGAAGGGGGCGAACACTTGACAGCACCAAACAAAAGACCTGATAAAGCCGGCAGGAGCATGCATTGACTCCCCCTTCTCAACCCCCCTCCCTCTCCCATGCCCCTGCCCCTCCTCCTGGCCCGCGTGAAAGTGCGCGTGTGTAACCTGATCCTTATGTCACGCTGTTTTTCCTCCCGGGGATCTCGCTTCAAGGGAGGTGGAGCAAGCAGAGAGGGAGACAAGGAATGGTGGCACTTCCACCTCCACTGGATCTACTGAAGCTACTTTCGACATTCAAGCCATATATACGAGTTTCATGTCACACCCCTGCCATTCTGAACCAATGAAGGGGGGCGGGGGGGGGGGGGAGTACACAAAAGAAATAAAGACCAAGGGAGAAGGAAGGCAGACATGAAAAGCCGAGAAATAATACCCGGCCTAGGTGACCAGCCCAACTACCGCTACGACAGGAACACTGACCTGCATAGCCCGTTCTCCTCGAAGGTCCTGCAGAGCTCCGTCTTGTAGCGCAGGAGGTTCGAGGGCCGGCCTGCCACGGAAGCACGCTCGCCCTTGACCCCGCCGCCAGGACCGGCACCTTCCCTCTCGTGTTCGAAGGCGGAGGAAGCGGAAGAGGAAGAGGAAGAGGGGCCCAGAGGACACAACGATTCCTCCTTAGGACTCTCGGGGCCGGCTATCTCGAGAGCCCTGTGGTGGAATGAGCGCCTGTAGGAGGGACTGCCAAACCCTCCCCCTCCACCCCCTCCCGCGGGCGTCGCTGCCGAGGGTCTGCGCGGCCGTCCTTGGGGGCTCGAGGTGTAGCTCGTGGGGCGCCCTCCCCCGCCGCCGCGCCGGTGTCCGCTGCTGTGGTTATCGACCCTGGGGACGGTTCTCGAAATTAACCAGGAAAATGCGAAACAACCTCATTTCTTCACAACTGCTAATTTTTGACGATAAAAGAGGTTATAGGCCTACTAAATCATCCTCCAGGGGAGATGGACGAAATCTAATAGGTTTATTAAAATGAGGGAGCCATTCACACATTCCTAGCTTTCACTCGCCTGTCCTCTTTCATTTCCAACATGCATAAAAGTATTGCAATAAAATAAAGACTATTGTATTGAAAACAACTGATCATTTACCAGGCTGACGCTATGCAAATAAAAAATAAAAAAAAATAAAGAAAATCTTTAACTCAGCGTCTCTCTTAAAAGTCAAACTCTAAAAGGA